CTGTTATGCTTTACACTAATAAAAACACTGGATATTATTTATTTGTCTGGCTGACTGACAAAGCCAGGCATCAAAGCATCATTCCAGTGTCACATACTTCAACGCTCTAATCTTTCAGAACTTGTAAAGCAATCTCTTACGGCGCTCTGTGGGCTGTGAGATCACCCTGACAAACTGTGATAATGTTGGCAATCTCCAAATGGGTGTTCATTTGCAATCTTACTACAGAGGAATTGCTATGTTTCCAAATTTGAGGGCTTGACATAATCTGTCTTCACAAAGCTATCAGGGTCTGTCATAAGGCTGTCTGTGACCCAGGGATTTTATGGGGTCAATATCTATCCCCAGTGAAACTTCATTGCAAGCAGTGGAATTACGTAGAGTACGACTTTCTCTATCTATTTGCTTTCTTCCTCCTTATTTAAAATACCCCTTCTTTGTATTATATTTTTTGAAGTGCAAACAGCACCTACTAATAGCATCTGAGGATCTGAGCCAGGCAGGGGAGACTGCTCCTCCAAATCATGGCCAGTGTCATACAGTTCATGCCAAACCCTCTGCTCCCCTCATCCCACTGAGCGACTGAGAAACAATGCAAATGTCAGGTCAAGCTACAGAGCTATTGCCATCATCTCTTCCCTTCCGTATGCTCCCAGCACTGGCAGTCTCTGGGCTGCAGTCCACAGGATATCCACAATTATGGCCCAGATTGAGGGAGGGGTAGAAAAACGATGGTACTCTGCCAATTATGTCAGAACCTAAACTTGATCCATTTTAAAACTGAAGCTGGGGACTGTGGGATAGCACTGTGTTTGCTATAATTTGTGTAAGGAAAAGAAAATAATTTAGCCTCTCAAAAAGAAAAAAAAAAGGCAGAGTTAGTGCAGACCTATAATAAATGTTTTATATTTGCATCTCAACCTTATCTTTAAGTAAAGACAATGCTATCTGGACAGAGAAAGAAGATTTTTAAAATGCCATAAGACTGCTAAGCACCTTAAGAAAAACCGAGACAGGGAGTGTCAGGCTTTGCTATATTCACAAGGGCCACACAACTGCTGGTGAAGTAATTCTGTTTTGAAATTACTTAGGATCCCTTTAGAAAAGCTGGGAACACAGGATGGAAATAGAAAACTAAAAAAAGTGCATCCAGTGTTTCAAAATACGCTCCCTGCACAACACCCTTTCCCTGCTATCATCTCCTGAGGCAAATTTCCCAGGCAGTTCCTCACACTTACCGAAAGATGATTCCCAAATCCTGCTCAGGGTGGGGGTGAGCAGCTGGAACCTGGCCATGGTGGGGTCAGAAAGCCCATGGCAGGCAGAGGCACTGGAGCACTGCAAGCTGAAGTTTACACATTGGCTTGGACACTTCTGAATTTATGTTGGGATGTTTTGCTATGTTTACTATGGTTTTACAAAGAAAATTCTCTTCCTTGGATTATTCCATCTAATCAAAAGTTGCTAAAGATGTACCACACTTTGTTTTATCCCCATTTAAGCTATTTTATGCATATCATTCTCTGTAAAAAAGAGAGTCAGTTTCACTACCCAACCTCATGAATAACGACCTAGCTGCAATACTACTGGAAAATTTTGGAATCCAAATAAATTCCAAACTTGTATTTTGGCCTGGATTTACAGCAAACTTGCTCCTGCTCTCAAAACGCCTACTGCTTTTACCAGGAGCAGCAATTATCCCTTGCGTCTCCTTAATCTTTCAGAAAAGAATGCACAGCACTGGAAGCCCAAGGTAAATGTTTTAATGTGTGCACTATCTTGCTGAAATCAGTAAGCTGCATGGATATTAAAAAAAGATAGTACAAGGATCCACGGGCTTCAAAAGGTCAAGCAGCTTCACCAACACAAACACTGCAGCTGGGGCAGTCCTGAACAGAGCAATGCAACTGGTATGTGCTTTTCCTTCCTAAAAATTCTTTCTCGAGGGTGAATGTTTTTATTTTACAGTAAGAGGAAAACTATTCACTTGTATGCTAGTTATTATTTGACTCTTCTCTACAAAAAACTACTTTTAAAGACAAAAAAGTCAAAGCAAAGAGCGCTACCTCTCTACTAGTGCCACTTCAGAAGGTTTTTGCTAGCCACAGCTGAATTACAGCAATATTTCTCCTTTCGAATTTCCATGTTTTTACTGTTTTCAACACTGACAACAAAATTTTCTGACAAATAAAGAAAACAGACTGGCACTGGTAGATCAGTATTTATAGATGGAAAGAACACAGAAACATGCTAAATTTACCCTAAACAAGGGGGTCTATACCATGACAGTAGCTTCTAACGCAATTCATTCATTTTATAAATTACATCCCTGGGGATATCCCTGAAAATTAATTAGGTTAGAGAGGGAAGAAAAACAAATTGAAAACTTCTCAAAAACTCCAGGAAACAGTAAGTTGCAAACACAGCAGTGTAAAAAAATCTCACTATAAAGTTCTTCCCTCCTCTTCCCCTTTTCTTCTTTCCAAGAGACCAAGATCCTCAGATTGAGAATCATTTTAGCATACAAAGGTCAAGGAAACCCATATACATTCAAATACAGAACATTTCTGAAACTGAAGATTTTGCAAGCAGCTCTGCCTTTTCAAACTGCAGACTCCTGGAAGAATTCTGAAATACAATTTAGTAAAGACATTCTTTGTGCTAATGTGGCTTTAAACACAAAGCTACAGTCACAAGACGTGGACATGATACATTCATCACACAACAGAGAAAAGCAAAAGAGAGGAAGGCAGAAGAAAACAATAAGAATTTTGGGCAAATTTTAATGCTGGCCAAACTCATCCTCAAATCAAAACTCTGGTTTTGCCTGTTCATTGGTTTCTCTAGAGTTTAGGGAAAAAGGAATTTGGCCATGTACTTTTCCTGTAGTGCTCTGTCTTCATTTTGTGCAAGAAACAGCACTTAAGTTTTTTTCACTCTTCTCAACACAGTTCACTGGATTGGAACTGCTGGTTCACATACACAAAATCCAAGACATTTTCTGATTCCATTTGTAACATAGATCAAGTTTTGTACTTCCTGATGCCTGTGCCACCTTCCAAGACTAAGGGAAGAATGGAAAGACAACAAAATGCAGGGAAGTAACTGAGCTGATGGTGCTTTATCACTGAAACTTTAACAGACTGCACTAATGGGTAACTCCACAGCACAGACTTCACCTGGATCATGTGAGGGCACGAGATGCCATTTCTGCCAGCCCTTACATGTGTTAACGCTCGCAGCAAGGAACAAAAGGTATCAGATAAGGCACAGAGCTTGCTGGTAGAAGTCAACACATCAAAATATATTTTTAAAACTGCATCAGAGAATTTATAATGGATCCGTGCTTTGCATTTTGAGGTGACAGAGTTCTCGATCTGGTAGAAAGTTCCCAAAGCTCGATTTACTACATTGTCAAAATATAGCCTGAGGGGACAATCTGACTTACAGCATCCTTATGACTGGTGATGAAAGAACCTCGCTTGGCTTTTAGATCCCAAGTTTGGCTCAAGATAGTGCAGTAGAGAACAGAACATCTTCTGTTTTATGCTGGGTGTTCACAGTGTTCCTCTTCAGCACAGAATTAGGTTTTACTCTATAGAATTCTCACACAGCTCGCTGATGGGTTAGCATTCACACCTTCAGATTTTGGGGATATACTTCACACTCTGCATTGTTACTGCTACTAAAGATACAGATTACACTGTCCTCATGTCATTGTAGCATCTGTAACAGAAATCTTTAGAAAATTCAGGGAAAAACTGCATCTTTTACAAGGCCACAGCATGTCTTATTCAGCCTTGGAGGGACTTCAGAGCACAGTAACTGCATTAATTAGACCTTATATGGTCAGCCAAGTACAGCTCAGTTACTGTCCAGATTTTACTGCTCTTTGTCATGTTGCTTCAAAACACATTTCATGTTTTAACCAGTCATATATACATATGAAAGCATTTTTCAACACTGGACAATGCTACAGATCCACAGGAAATAATTGCTTCACAAACATGAAGCAATCTGCACCAATATAAATAGCATGGCCCAAATCTGTTCTAAATTATGCTTGTGCAAATCAATGGAAGTTAACTAGTACCACTAACAGAATAGAGTACATAAGAGCATGTAAAGGTATAAAATATGGCTCTACTGTTCAGCTATCCATGCTCCAAACCCTGCCAGCCTGCCATCACTTACATTCTACTACTTTACCAGCATGGCTTTACAGGAAATGAGAAAAATTCTGGGATTTCTAATTCTCTCATGCACAGGAGGACACAAGTCCAAGAACATATGGGCTTAAATGTGTCAGCATCCTACATCACTCTTATTTGAAGAACGTTATTAATTTTTGTGGGTGGAGTCCAAAATTGTAATGCCATATTAACACACAGTGGCTGTTTCTGTAATGCGTAATGTCACAGGGAGCATATGTGCAGTAGTCCAAGGATAGCATTTTAACTTGATTTCAAGTGATTTTCTGAATTGTAATACCCTCAAAAGATGAAGTACTGATGCTGCCGGCAGGGTATTTCACAACTTTTGTCTTCACAGTTTCATCCAGTCACCTCAATTCTGACCTCTAGGATATCATGCTATTGCAGATCTGGACTCCACACAAAGCTGTTTCAACAAATCTCATTTTTTCTCTCTAATACACAGCATGTGACTGCAGGATTGGTATTTTCAATGCTGAACTGAGTTATACGAGTGATGTATGCTACTCCGGGCAAAAAGCAAGACTAATAGCAGAAGATTCTTTGCCATGCTAACTCTAACTGAATTTCAATCCCAATCTTCTCCAATGAATTAGCCTCTTTACCAAACTCACAGGTACAGACAGATATTATGGGAATCAGCCATGTAACCGTTCCAACTGGATACAGCGAGGAAAAGTACTGCCAAAGGCTTTTCGGCTGTGACTCAACAGGTGGTTTGGCACCAAGATTTCTACCTGTTTGTGGTTTTCATCTCTGCTTTCAAGACAGAAAATGAGATTATACCTTTCAATGCTGCATCTCAAGCAGGCTGTACGCAGAGCAAGGTTTCATTCCAACCAAATCTCTCTCTCGCGAAGTTGAGGAAAACTGCCAACCACTGCTGCTCTTGACATCAACACGCGATGCAGATGTCAGGAAAGGGAAAAGAAAAGGGAGAGAAGAAAAAAGGAAAATAAAATGGTAAGTTTTATGAAAACAAGAAACTGTACTTAATGACTACGTCTGAGGAAAACAAAATAAAATGTACTGGCTTAAGTATAAGGACACAAATAAACAAAACCTTGGAATAGCTTAATACAAGTGGTTGTGGTTTGTTTGGTTGTTGTTTGTTGTTTGATTTTTCTTTTGTTTGTTTGTTTGGTTTTTTGTTTATTAGAATTTTTGTTTGCATTTAGTTCCAGGAGATAAAATACCTTTACATTATAAACTTAAAAGGGCAACATAAAAGAAACTAATCTATCATAGCATCAGAATTAACTACTCCAATACTCAGAGGAGAGTCTAAGCACCTTTAACAAGCACCGTGAAAAGCAGCAGAAGCACTCATAACATATGTTCTTGCCTGCAAATAGCCCAGGGTGCAAGAGGTGGGTTTCATTTTTCAGTTTTTAAAGCCTTCTGCCTAGGCCTAACTCTGCCTTTGTTGAAGGCAGTGTTAACACACACTGAATGCAGAAGGAACCGAATGTGGGTAACTGCATACTTCACAAAATCACACCCAATATGTTCAACTGATGCCATCGTTTCCTGAGGACAAGAGAAGGCTATGGAATACTACAAATAATAGAGAGCACTAGTCTAAAGCAAGCTTCCCAGAACCAAGAGAGCATATTTCAATACTTTTTCACAGATAATTGGGAATGTGCATCTTCAAAATAGTAGTCAAGAGTAGGTAAAAGACTGTCAGGAGATGCTTACTGTGACAGAAGTCTCAGTGCCTTTTCATAAAATAAGAGTTCTTCAAAGCAACTCTCAACAACCATTAAGAGAACAGTCAGTGAATCCATGCTTTTCAGATTAAAAGCAAGAAAATGAAAGCCAGTGCTTCTCCACAGACAAAGATGTAATGAGAATGACTTCAATACATCAGCATTTGAGTCATCAAAATGGGCCCACATTCACCAATGCACTGAAGAGTAGAATGACCAGCAAGAACTTTGCTTTGCCCCAATAAAATAATTTCAGGAAGTTGTATATACTAATTTGCCTATGGCAGATGAGAACCTCATAATTAAACTGTATTAAATAATCTACACTAAGAAAGACTGAGCTGAAGAGAAAATGGAACTATCTTATCATGATGATAAAATCACTTGAGTGAAAGGGACCCCAAAATGTTCTATTCTTGAGTCGCAATAATCAGTGAAGTGGGTCTTTTTCCCTCGTGAGAAAGTCTTCCCGGAAAAATACACCTCTCAGATAACTAAAACAGAATTTTTTCTTCAACTACCTGGATAAAGGAGGGGGGGGGGAAAGAAGTAATGAGTCTTTAAGAACCAGCAGTTGGCAAATATTTATTTGACTTTCTTGTGTAAAACAGTTATTCCCCAAGAAAAATTTCATTTCAAGTAAAATAATTTCCACTGAAAAATCATTCTGATGGGAAAACGTCTGGCAACAGCTACCAAGGATAAGGCCACTGGCCTCAGCCAGGGGGAGGTGAATGCCAAGGCCAGTGGACTGGGTCTGCCTCAATCCTCTTGCAAAATCATGGGCACAGCTCCTCCATTTGCTGTGATGTTTGTTCTGCTCCAGTTTTTTGCCTGCGTAGTCCCTCCCTTCTTCAGGGCAGGAACCGTCTCTCACTGTATGTTGTGCACAGCCTACTGCAACACGTGTGCTTGGCGACTTTTAGCACTACAGCAGCAACACTGCCTTTTCCTCCTACAGCAGCTACTCCCCAATATCAGGATGAGGAGAAAAAGGTGACCTATGGCTGCTCCACACACTGCTAATCAAACACTACTGTATTGCATGGGGATGTAGGGGGATGCCTTTTCACCACAGAACTTATCAGGGTTTATACACAAAATCAGCAAAATATATAGTTCAGTCTTGTGATCTGTGTTCCAAGCTGCCAGAAATAAGGCAGGAAAGAGGGGTGGGGAAGGGGGGGGGTAGGGGGAAGCATCTCCTGTGTTCATAATGAAAGAAGAGAGATGACTGGACTGAGAGCTGATGAGGTTACAAGGCAACAGCAGTGCCATGAGTTGTTTGGGCTTAAAGCCAGATGTCTTGTATTTCCTTTGATTGTTTCTAAATAATTAATGGTATTAATTTCATCATGTGACCCACCCACCCCCCTTTTAGTATTTGGCTCTGTGTACTAACACTAAATATAAAGGAGGAAAACGGTACTGTCTATAGCATACTGAATATTGATGCTGTGTGTTTGGACTGCAGCAACAGCTGATACTCGTATCCCTAAGATTCTATATTCCACAGCACTCACACAGTGTTTGCATGGAGGAGATGGAGTAGTATCCTTCATACTCCATCCATAAACCAACTCAACTATGGCATATGGACACTGCATGTTTGAAGTAGTAAAAGAGAGGGTACATCGCTCCCTCTCCGCCCACACTAAGATGAACCTGCCACTACTATTTCACGTAACGTTTTCTGGCAAGCTCCCAGTTTTCAGTCATGCTGGTTTGCTTGAAAGAAACACTCAGAGGAGACTCTGCTTGTCTTGCTGTTTGAACAAACAAAATAATCACGCATCTTGAGTTAATGGCCCAAAGCTTAATGAAGATCATAGAAAAGAGGCTGCCTGTGATGGGAGCATTCCCTTCTGACTTAGCCACATAAGCCACTGCTGTTGGCAAAAGGAAATGGATTATGAGGATAATAAGTAACCCTGAGCCCTGGTCTAGACAAACGTTTGCTTGGTACAGTAGCAGTAAGTGCACAAAGAGAACAGCAACAACCAGAAATAAAAAATTCACTTCTCCAGTTTTCTACCCTAGGGCACTGGCAGCATCAGCAGAAGGACCCGTGTTTCTTTCTCATGGGAATGTTTCGGTTGAGTGCTAGGACCACTGGAATCCAACAGCAGAATTCCTGAACAAAGAAAGACTAGAGGAGGCAGATCCCTTTATGCATGATTCTGTGATATATACTCAGGAAAAATGTCTGCCCACCCTCCTGTACACTGCAACCTACTTTCAGCTCCCCATGTCAAGTTTCTAGTCCCACCCATCTTATCTACCTTTTTTTTCCTACCACATTCTCACTTATCTTGAATCCCGTGGTACCTACCAGAGAATCAGAATCACAGAATTGTCTCAGTTGGAAGGAACCTTTAGAGGTCATCTAGTCCAACCCTCCTGCAATGAGCAGGGACCTCTCTCTTCAACCAGATCAGCTTGCTAAGAGCTGTCCAACCTGACCTTGAATACTTCTAGGGATGGGGCACCCACCACATCTCCTGACAACTTGCTTCAGTGCTTTATTCACCATCAGATAGTACTAAATGGGGCAGCTGGGAGGTAATGGAGAATGAAATCTGACAGCTTGGAGCAGACCCTTGTTTTGTCCCGTAATGCCCCAGACTTCTAAGGTAAGGACAAAGTAACATGAAGCCCTCATAGATGTCAGAAGAAGTTTGCAAAAGTCTGCATAAAGCCAGCCTCATCAAAGTGGGGAGTCAGGGAGGGTCAAGTCTCCTCTCTTAGATTTTATCCATGGCTCCCTAGTTGAATGTCATTCTGCAGCTAAACTATCAGATCAAGACTGGTGCATTGTACAGGGACAATTCTTCAGTGAAGGCAAGAGAAACCCAAAGAATTCTCCACTAGAAAGCCAGATCCTAATCTTCAGGGACTTGACCCTGAGATTAGCTCAGCTGGTTAGAGCATAGTGCTAATAAAACCTAGATTGTGGGTTTAATCCCTCTGTGGGCCATTCACTTAAAAGCTGGACTCAATGATCCTTGTGGGTCCCTCCCAACTCAGAAAATTCTGTAAGTTCTGTAAATTTTGACTTGGCAGTCAAGGCCTAGCAATCCTAAGGCATATTCCTTCCCCACACACCCACTACAGGTTCATAGGAAGAAGTCTGTCTCATTACATGAAGATCATATGAGAAGTACACCTGAGCCCTCCAGCTGGGACTGGAGCAGCACCAAAAGCAGCATTGGCCCTGCACACTGCAGAGAAATCACCACTGCCAAATCACAGCATGAGGCACTGCACACAGGGTGGCAGAGTGCCCTGGGTACCAGAGCTCAGTCTGTGGGCCCTACTGTAAGAAAGGAGCAGGATGAATACCACACAGGCTGTGCTGGGAAGAAAACATCTCACCCTCCCCTATTAGAGTGTCCCCAATGTGGTTATAAGGCTGAATAAAATTGTGGGTTTATTGCTCATGGACACATGTAAATGGAGAAAACACTAAACCATATCAGAACAAGATGAGGAAGAGTAACATGCAGCCAAACTTCAAGTGATTCCTTCAGTTCCTACCGGCTACCCTGTGTAGAGTGGCAACACTTACACAAGCAAAAAGCACATCAGGAATACCTGATGCCAGAGTCTTCCTCCTTGGAAGTAATTCACAGAAAATGGGCTCTGCAGCTTTGAACTGGAACAGAGGAAACTGCTTCTAGACAGGAATGATCACAGAAATGACTGCACTGTTTGCAAGGCAGAAACACTGCAAATAGACAAAAATACAGCTGAACAGTGAGAGCACTTTATGAGCAGCCCTTATACCTAACTGCTTGGTTTTCAGGATTTTGGGAGGTCATGGTAGAGTGAGAAGACAGTGTTTTTCCTATGGCATCAAGGGTCTCTTAAAGTGTCTACACGTCAGCCTTGGCTGAGAACGTATCCTTTGTTCCTTCTTCTGCATTATTTCCCTTTAATGATAGCTTTGCAGTGAGTCCCATTTGTGAGTTGCTCAAATAAATGCAAATTTTATCTTGTAAGCAATGCCCTCCATAATATAACTACCACTGAAAGTAAAAATCTGAAGAGCTAAAAGGCACTGGGTCTTCCCTAGTGCCCCCATCTCCCCAGTGCACTTCACTGCTTGCTATTATTATATATGGAGTACCAGGCAGGGTACTTGCTATTATAAATATGTACAGTATTGAAA